CTTTCTTTAAGATCGATTGAGCAATCATATGGATGAAGCTCCGAGAGAATATTTGTATTCTTCTTTTAAAAAACATCTTAAAAATCTTGATATTGACTTGGAATTTTACTTGAAATCTTTTGATCATTTAAAATGGGTGAAATAACAAAAGATAATCTATCTTTTGCAGCATACAAACAAAGCATTTGTACCTATAAGTACAAGTTTGGCTATACTAGATTCATGGCTTTCTATTGGATTAGAAAAACTTTTAATGATGTTCGAAGAAAAGTCAAGTTTATGAGAAATCCAATCTAATATAGGATTATACTTTTTTAGCCACGATAAATCTAAAATGACTAGATTAGAGGAAGATCTAATTATATTAAAAATTATGTGACTATTATGACCATTTACTACTACATCTATAAGATGTGTTTCATGAATAATATCTCTTGAATGTAATGGACGACTGTTTATGATTTCTATATGTATGGGTTTAATTTTTTGTACTAACTATATAATATAATTTTTAACAAATTCTTCATCTAAAAAATAAGCTGAGGCTCTTAAATCTATTGAGGCAGAGGCTTTGTGATTATTAGATCCTAAATGCACATCTATTATAAAGCAAGGAGAGGATTCTGAGGAGAGAATAGGACCTTCATTAAGAATTGTATAACATTCTAGCCACACGTTTCCTATTGTATCTAAACAAATTCATTTTTCGACATGTTTTTATCTTCGACAAGAATACTTCTCATTTTGTAGTTGCATCGTTTCTTTGGACAATATTGAGGAATGTGCTTAGTTTCTGCATAATATAAACATAGTCCTTCTTGACAACGATGAATCTTTTCTTGTTCAATAAGAAGTTTAAAATGTATGGCATCAATTTATATATCTTCTACTTTCAAATGTTTAGATTGAGAAGTCATTGATGTTGTCATTGAATTATAATAACGTTGAGGTTCTCTTATGTGATTCTTAGATCAAAATTCAAAAAGATGATTATCACATTTCACAGCAAAGTCAATTGCTTGACTCAATGTCTAAGGATCACGTAAATTGAGCATCAATTTCTTTAATTCATATTGTAATCCACAAAGAAAATGACTGATGAGTGCTGCATCATATTATTTGAAAACTGTTGCTAATTGTCGAAATTGAAGAGCGTATAATGTCACTGATTGATTTTCTTGTTGCAAGATACAAATCTTGTTGGTTGCAACATGGATTGTATCATGTTCTCCATACATAGATCAAAACTCCGTTAAGAATGCTTTCAAATTATTCAATATTAGATCATGTTGTTCAAGAAATGATGAAAATCATGATAAAACATATCTTGAAAGTAGTGTTCCAACAAACTTGACTTGTGATCCTTAAATTGGATAACTTTGAGGTTATAGTTCAATCACCAATTGTACGTGATTAATGAATCTTTGAAACTTAGATCTTGTGCCATCAAACTTCTCAAGCAATCTAATTTTTGGTTCTTTGAAACTTGAATGATGTTCTGTTGTAGGAGTAGTAGAATGGCTTGGTATAGATGTTGAAGCAACTCCAATCATTTCTATGTCTTCATTGCATAATAATCTTGTTGCTCCTTGTGGTGGTAGACTAAGTTGATGCATTACAAGAATTAACTCTCTCATTTGCTCTTGCATTTGAGTCATTGCACTCTTCATTTCAGCAAGTTCTGCCATGCTAACACAATAAAAAGAAAGTTGTCTATTTTCAAAGAATATAATACTTAAGAATCAAGAAAAAAAAAAGATTTCTAGAAATAATATCAATTTAGAAGAAGGTTATCTATAACTTCTAATATGCTTATGTCTTATCAAGAGAAAGGAGTAATCTACTCTTAATCAAGAAAGGACACATCTCTAATATTATATGTGTACTCTTATCAATCTGTCAAGGATATAAACTAAAAAAAGCTACAAAAACTTATAGAATCTATGTCAAAAGAAAAGTGATAAAATAGAAGAAAGTATGTATATTCAAGAAAGAATTGGAATATCTTATGCCAAAGACTAGAAAACATAAGATTGTTGAAAGTAGACTAAAAATAAGAAAGGAGTTAACAAGAGTGAAGAAGGCATCACTCTTCCCTCTATATATACTACTTAACTAAGAAATACATGGCAACATGCTATAGGACCTCTAATACGCATCCAACTTGCAGGACACATGTTTAATTTAGAGAGCAAGTTTCTTATGTGTGCGCCATATGTCCAACTTGTACTACAAGTAGTCAACATGTCAATACGTGGCTTCCTTGTTGGCCAAGTTTTCAACCTATCAATCACCTATAGACATGTATAAAAGCAAAGCAACATCTATGAAGCTTCTAAGAAGCTTTCGACAAGATATTATCAAATTTATCTATTTTGACTTACTTTTAGCTATTCCTATTAGCTAGATAATTATCAAAATAAATATGTATGTTCGTGATATTATTCAATAGTTAAAAAATATCTACTTGAAAGAGTTTTACATCCAAAAATTATATATATATATATAAAATTTTATTTATAAAATTGTATAGAAAATTACATCCAATTTTAAATTAAAATTTGCATGAAATTATTAGAAATTTAGTATAAAAAGTTTTAGTTATGAAGTAGATGATCAAATTTGTTGTACAAAGTGAAAATTTATGCAATATATTTATTAAGATGATTAGATGGAATTTTTTTTATAGGTGAAATTTTATACAAAATAGTATATATGATTTATTTATTTATTTATTTATTTATTTATGAATAATAGCTATTATCATTAAAATTATCATATTTAAATTAAAGATGTTACAAACTTAGTTGTAAAAAATTTGCTTAATTATCATAATATTGTGTAGAAAAAAATCATAATTCAATAAAAAATAAAGAGAAGTGCTATTGAAAATAACTATACAAATTGTCATACAGAATTTAGCATAATTTTTCTTTATTGATTATTTAATATAAATTTCAAAATTAATCAAACAAAAAAAGCTACTATTGAAGTAAAACAAACTATAAAAAAAATTCATGTAATAAAATTCACCCATACAATAGTCAAAATTTCTCCTCAATTTTCATCCAATATAAAAAAATTAAAATTTTTATTTCCTCGTTTTAAAATTCCTTTAATAATTCTATTATAAATCGAGTATCTCAATAAAAACAATTCTTCTACTACTAATTCTAATTATAGACAACAGAGAATGCATTATAAACTCAGGAAAATCTTTGATTGACGGCTTAATTATAGACATTCAGAACATGTGATACAGTTGAAAGGGCATAATATTGATACCTAAATTCAGAAGCAATTAATCAACTTCAGTAATGCATCATTAAAATTTCACAACATTTACCAAAAAAATGAAATGTGCTTGGTAAATGTCAGTTACATTCACACTTTTGTCAAACCATAAAACAGTTACTATATTATGATGATGAGTAACTGTATTATTATCTGTAAGAAAAATTGGGATTTTTTTTAATTTGTTTGAATTTTAGTAGATTATACACTCATATTCACAATAAGTAAATTTGAAGTAGGAAAGTATTATATGGAATAATCCTTAAATATTTTTCAAAATGAAACAGGTATTATTTAAATTCACATAAAACCCACAAAATCAGAGCAGATGAGGTCAAGAAACGTGTCCAGAATACGGTACTATTAGATATTCAGAAACCCTAAATGGTTTTAGGGCACCAAAACCCACGGTGACAGAGCCTCGGCCCCATGCCCGTCTAATGCTTCACACTGCCCCACATGATAGAACCAGAATTGCGCTCACTTGTTGCCAATTGTTGCAGCTCCGCTGCTGAACTGGGTCGACTCCGTGTCCCGTGTGGCTGACAGTTACATCGTTTTAACGGGGAAAAGTCGCACCACAGACACTACGATTGGCCTACTCTCTGTTCCTTTTCCCAGATATTTCCTATTCTTCTCCTTCTTTTTGCGTAGAAATGTTACAACTGGGACATGTTTGTAATACCCAATAGATGCAGTGGCAGCATGCTGACTGCAGGAATTTTGTTTCTATGTGGGGGCAGTGTAGAAAAGACACGTCGCCAAAAGACTCCAAGCCATTGTACCTTTCCATTTGGCGCACCCTAGACCCCATGCCCTTACCTCTCCACCTCTTTCTCCATATCCTGCTCAGTTTTTTCGCTAAAACAATACCTGTTTTGCTTGCAGCTAGGTATTGCTGATCATTCCCACGGGCTGGTTCATTGTCACCAAACTCACAGCGCCACTCGGAATCATTCCTGCATGGCCAACCCCTCCCAAAAGCCAGATCGGAAGAAGGATGAGGGTAATATGCTTCTGCAGTTTCTAAAAGCACATTCTGTGTTCTCTACATTCATTTGCGGACGTCCGTCGGAATGGCGCAAGTTGGATATTTGCGGGGTGAACCAGCGTTGTTTCATCGCTCTGAACCCATAAATTGAATGCCGCTGCACTGAATCCCTCCTCGATGATAGTTAAGCAATAAGTAGGAATTCAGTCCCTGACCTGCTTATTAATTACCAGAAACATTTCCCGAGTATGCGACATTGAATGCCCTTTCAATTTACGCTTTCCGCCATCGGAGTCATAACCGAACCCGCCATATTTACTCCCCTCAATGTTCACCACAATGACTATACCCTAGTGGTTTCCTACATAAAACTAGAAAAAGTGGGAATCGCAGATGAGCACAGGTACGCCAACTCTACAAAAAGAGCCATCGCAATAACAACTAAAACTCAATCCTCGGTTGCCCGACACTAACGTGAAAGCTACTACATATAGATTAAACTGACACATGAATTAGCGCCAGATGAGTCATGCTTTTTTCAAAAGAAAATAATACAACAGGCTTTCCGAGGGATCCATTCAAACTTTGCTTTCCATGAGCTACTCATCTCTTAATGCCAACGCAGTGGTCACTTTTTGCCGCATTCAGGTTTTGAGCCACGTCATGGCAGGACACTTGTGCGCTTCTTATTCACCTCGGAACCATTTAAATGATACATTTGCGATGCCATTGTCAATGGGAACATGAGCGGAATACTTCACATAAACTGCCGCAGATACGAGTTTTGCACCTTCTCTCGATTAGATTAGTTTACAATCTAGCCATTGTTCAGGCATTCTTCGCAAGAGATCTGCTGCATGACCTTCGAGATGGCTACTCTCGCACCAATCCGAGGCCTGGCACCGCGCAATTCGTGTGCTCCACTGAGAGCTCACGAAAGCTCGGATGGCCTCCGACCTTCTCTTCGAGGTACTAAGCTATGTGTGAAGTTCCCGGCCATGGCGACAGATTCCATGAAGTCGGGCAGGAACACAATCCTCGCAAGTCAAAACGGAAACGGAAATGGAAACGGGAAAAGTAGCGCTCAAGGAAGTGCCCAGCCTTGCTTGGGCAACAGCGGAAAGCCTCTGTACACCACTTTGGGCGGCCACCCCGTATCTGACGACAACAACAGGTGCGTGTTCTCTCTCCCCGGTTTCGGCTGTTTGTATGTGTGTCGGTGTAAAATTTTGGCGGCTCGTAGAAATGTTTTGTGATCCTCGTGAAGTCTCGAAACCGGTCGACGGTGCATGTTTCTGAACCCTTTGGCACTCAATCTCAGCCTGACAGTTGGTGAGAGCGGGACCGTGACTCTGGAGGATTTGCACTTGTTCGAGAAGAACGCACATTTCAATCGCGAGCGCGTCCCCGAGCGCGTGGTGCATGCGAAGGGTGCTGGCGCCCATGGCTACTTCGAAGTGACCAAGTAAGCAACTCACCGCCGATGTCTCTGTCGGAACCCGTCGGACCTTGATTTGTGGATACGTGCAGGGTGATTCCCGAAGCTGCAGCTGAACTGTTTCCCCATTGCGTTTGTTTCGTCTCCAGGGACGTGAGTGATCTCTGCAAGGCGGGGCTCTTCAGCGAAGTCGGCAAGAGAACTCCGGTATTCGCCCGCTTTTCTACCGTGACCGGAGAGTCAGGGTATGCGGACACGGCGAGGGACCCTCGTGGTTTCTCGCTCAAGTTCTACACGGAGGAGGGCAATTGGGATATGGTGGGTAACAACACCCCGGTGTTCTTCGTCCGCGACGCGGCGAAGTTCCCGGACCTCATCCACTCCCAGAAGCGCAACCCACAGACCCACATGAAAGACCCCAACGCTTTCTGGGATTTTCTCAGCCTAGTTCCCGAGTCTCTGCATCAGGTAGAGAGCTCCGCCGTTCTCGATTTCCTTTCCAATTTTGCTGTCGTTGCGAGTCTTCTCTTCGTCACGAAGTCTTATAGCGTCCCTGAACTTGGACCGGCTGCGGCTTTTCTCAGGTGTTGATCACTTTCTCGCCCCGGGGAGTTCCCGATGGTCATCGTCACATGCACGGCTATGGCTCCCACACATTCAAGTGGGTAAACAAGGAAGGGAAAGCTCACTGGGTGAAGTTTCACTTCATCAGCGACCAAGGCATCAAGAATCTGACTCACGAGCGAGCCGTTGAGCTTGCGGGAATCAACCCCGACTACTCCACCGAGGATCTCTTCCAGAACATCCAAAACGGTAATGGGCCGTCGTGGACATTCAAGGTGCAGGTGATGCCTCTGGAGGATGCGCCTTCGTACCGATGGGATCCATTCGATTTGACCAAGGTGTGGCCACACGCGGACTACCCGCTGCGCGAAGTAGGGAAGCTAAAGCTGGACCGAAATCCGACCAACTACTTCGCCGAAGTGGAGCAAGCATCGTTCTCACCAGCACACATGGTGCCTGGAATCGAAGCTTCTCCCGATCGTGTGCTTCAGTTCCGTCTGTTCGCATACGATGACGCCGCCCGGTATCGCATAGGAGGGAATTATTTGCAGGTACATCTATCTTCCGGGGAGCTTGAAAATCACCTAAAATATCTGCTGGAATTTATTGAATCGTTTTGGAAGACAATTGTGGATTCGAACGTCTGCGTGTGCGTTACTGAATTCGTCGCAGTAACGGTTGTCTGCGAATGCTTTTTGAGTCCGGTTGCTTTGCCGTGGCGTGTACAGGTTCCAATCAACCAGTGTCCGTTTGCGAAAGTGCAAAACTATTCTCGTGACGGGCAGATGACAGTGACCGACAACGGTGGAAGCAAGCCCAACTACTACCCCAACTCACACGAAGAGTTGCCACGTCCCGATCCTTCTCAACCCGAAGTGCACCCCTACGAGTACGGTCACTGCCTTGGTCGCAAGTCTTTGTCGATCCCTTCTGATTTCGGTTGCGTGAGCGGGTGATGTTGATCTCATTCGAATACACCGAATACAGTTTGTGGAGGTTCGCCCCTGACAGTGTTGGAATTGTGGTCGTGCAGGCATGCAGGAGGAACCGTGTCTAAAGCTCCGCCCCGCAAGTGGTCCGAGCAAGATGACTATGAACAGCCAAGGATGCTGTGGCAGAAGATGTCGAAGGAAGACCAGGGGCAGACAGCTAAAAACATTGCTGGGCACATCCAGGGTGCCAAGGAGTCCATCATTGAGCGTCAGATGGGAGTGTTCAGACGCTGCGACCCGTCTCTGGCTGACAAGGTGGAGGAGATGTTGGGAATGAAGAAGAAATCTGAGGACCCATACACCATGGTGGCTTAACTTTGGCTTCGAAATGGTAACGACCCAGCTTTTTCATCTGCCAAAACACACATGTATACACACATCGATAGCCTTGTTTCGAAGGGATGCACGCGAGGAGGGAGTGTAGACCAACACCGATCCCTTGTGCAAGAAAAGCTTCTGTACACTGTTGCGAAATAGGATGTGCGTAGCAGGCTCTGCTATTGCGCTTAGATTCCTTGTACAAGTGTAGCATTTGTTAGCTCAGCATCTTTGCCGATTCTACAGTTTTGTAGTCTAATTGACCCAAATGTCGCTGTACAATTGTTGCTCCGGACATGGGACTTCCTTCCCCATTTCATTCATGTGGATAATCTACGTTTTCTTTCACTTGAACTTGCGAACGGAGGGTTGATAAAATGATGATGGATTGTACCTTTCCGCCTTCAGAAGTTAGATGATTTGTACAACTTATTTTATGTTTTTGAATTAATTTATACTATGCTTAACATAGAATTGTGAATTTTAAAATGATTCCAATGCAACGAATCTATTGACAGAGAAATATGTGACATAAAACCAAGCACGAAAAACCACAATAATATGATTGTGAACATGATAGTAATACAACAGAAGATAGTCTTGCACATCACATTTAGAAATGAATATAGTATTTGCTTGATTCTTAATAAAAAGCATTAATCACATGGTATATTATGCATAATTTGTATCATGGTTTGTATCATGGTGTGCAATTGAGAATGTAGATGTAACAAATTTTTCAATTTGGACATAGACTCATTTAGTCATATGCAAATAGATATATATATATATATATATATATATGTTATTTTTTATAATTCAAATATAGTAACTTTAAAACTTTGAATTTTTTTAATAACATGGTGTATGATATTAATTTTTAAAAGCTTTGATTTTATTACTATTGTTTTTTGCAACTTATCTAAAAGAAAATATATAATAAATATAAAAAATTATTATAAATTTTTAGATACAATAGAAATCTTTTGCATATAACAAGAAGAATTTTTTTTCTATGTTGTAGTATCAAAATGCCTTTCTTCTATCCTATTAGCTTTTTATATTTGGACTTTTCGCCTTGAACTTTCAATATCTAACAAAAACTAGTTGCAGTTGAGGTTGCATGATAATATTGCATTTGAATATTCTTTTAGATTTGAATTTTCAAGCTCACTAATATTTGGAAAGTCTTCATTAGATAAAAGTCTTTTCATTCGTTTAGTAATGTGGAACAAGAGTAAATATTTTTAATTGCCAATAAAACCTTGATTTTAATTGATTGTGTTGTTGATTGGTTTATTGTTAGTTTCAAGTAGTAGTTTTGGCATAAAGACATTTTAAACAATGTATTGGCAAAATACAAAGTCTAGTTTGTAGCTTAAGAATTTTTTCAACAAGTAGGATTTGATTACTTGGAGACATTCTATTTTTTCATAAAGATGACATTTGTATGAATTTTGCTAGCTACAACTACAATTCATGACCTCCATATCTACTAAATAGATGTATGATTTATTATTTTATATAACATTCTAACCAAAAAATCATCTATACATTTAAATTAGTCGCATCTTTTATTTTAAGTTGTGAATCAAAGATGTGATGCTTGCATAATCACCTATGTAGACTTATACAAGCACTATACATATAATATGACTTATTTGATCAAATTCTTATTTGTTGACTTTGTCAAATGCACATCTAAAATTGATGTCTGTATTAAGCTATTAAAATTTATTTTTCTCTTCTTTGGATTATATAAAAATGATTTTATTTTTATTTTATCTTTTTTTTAATAATTATCAATTCATATGAATGTTATTGTTTTGAAGATTTTTTATGCCAAATAACAATGAAATTAAATATACTCTTAAAATTCAAATTGGATACAATCATAAAAACCACACTTCTACTTTATTTCAAAGAAAGTAAACATGAGATATTTTCACAAAATTTAACATAATTTTTTGCAATCTAATCTTTGCAATACTTCAAGCTAGAACAAGAAATTCTTGCTTCAAATCTGAGAATCTTAATCAAAATTAATTATGGTTGACATTTTTGTAAAGTCGAAAAGAAAAAGAATAGCCATTATTAAGTTGTCCCTAACTACAAGAGTGATTCTATATATTCATTATGCAAAAGAGCATCAAAAATGTTGAAAGAACTTTTAAGATATTTTTGAGGTGAAATACAATGCTCAAATATTGGCTTTTGTATAGAGGCGTTTACTATTAGAAATTATGGAAGGAGCTTACAATCTAATATTTTTGTGATATTTATAAGAAACCAACAATAAAATGAATGATTATAATAAAAAGCCTTTAAACAAGGTCATTGTGGAGTAAATAATAAATCCTCTAGATAAAGTCTTTCACCATTTTATAAGAGTTGTGTGAACTAAAATAAATTCCCACTAATTGGAAGTCTATTATAATTTTTAAAAAATTAATTATCTAATTAACCTAATATTTTTTGATTAAAATTTTATTTATGTCCAATAATTCTATTAACTTTCAAATTATGAATTGAATAAATCCATCTACTAGGTGATTTATTCTAGTTCACAACTATTAATTAACTTATGAAATGATTTAATAAAATTTTCTCCTACATCTTACTAAAGAACTTAGATCTTCTTACTAATTTAATTTACACTCATACAACCTACTTTAATAATGTAAGTTACTTCAAATAACTATCAAGAATTCCATCCTTAAAAGAAAAAAAATATGTGATTTTATTTAATATTAATTAAATTTTTTATTTTATTTTCTATTTTCTATTAATAAAATTTATCTAAGATTAAAATTCATCTAAAAAAATTCTTTATTTATAAATGAGTTTTTATCCATGAATGATTTTGTATCTACAAATGAAAATTCATCTACTCTTACACTTGTTCATCTATAAAATTTCATCCATTTAAAGCCTAAATTCATCCATAATTCAAATTCAATTGATTATAATAATTGAGTATAATTGGTTATTTTACAAGTATATTGTTCCAAATTTCTCAAAATATGTAAAAGTTAATGGTGAGTTGACAGACGGTTGAAGAATACCTTAAATCTTGATTAATCTCAAATCTTCACTCTAGTAGTATACAAGGACCATCAACCACTAAAGCTAGGGTATAATAGTTGCACATGCCTGATAGACAATCTTTCTACTCAAGATCATGTAGAGCTGCACTTAATTTGGTGAATGCCTTTGCTGAATCCCTCAATTATGCCAACATCATCAATAATTCTATTCAATCTAATTCTAATTGATTAGTATCTACCAATTCTTTTTCCTTTCTACTACGCTACTTTTGTTCAACTGATTTGGATCTAGATGCTACATATTATTAATTTAAGTACTAACTGCTTAATTTAATAACTTTGATGCAATTTTTTTGAAGGATTGGGATCAAGCTCTAAAATGTAGTCTACAATGGTGCTTTGATTCATTGCCCACTACTTGATCATTGCTAATCTAGAATATATTAGTACCAACACAACTACACCTTAAACAACTCTACTTCAATGTTCCAATTATTAGAACCATTAGAAGGCATCTACCAAAGCAAAAGATATTGTTATGAGTTGAGGTCAAATAACTCGTTGGATATAGTCTCTAGCTACTAAAGCATGCATAGTTTTTTGAGCAAGAATTTTCAATTGCTAAAGAGTCATGAAAGAGAAACAATAAGAAGTTGAACATAATAGAATAATATTTTTTTATACCATTGATGACTTAGGATCATTCCTTTATTAATAAGAATCCTTTAGCTATAAGAACTTACAACTTGAATGCTCCTTTGAAGCCAAATAGGACTCCAGTTCCATATCAAGGATATGAACTCATATCAAGGATATGAACTCATATCAAGGATATGAACTCATGTCAAGGATATGAACTCATGTCAAGGATATGAACTTGTGAAATCCGTGTAAAAAAAAAAGTGACAAAATAAAAATAAAGAAGTATGTATATTAAAAAGAAATTGAAATAGATATTGCCAAAAGATAAAGAAATTAGAGAATCTTGAATCTAGACTAGAAGTAAGAAAAGAATTGATAAAAGTGAAGAAAGTTTCACTCTTGCCTCTATATATACTATCTATCTAGGATCTATGTGGCAATGTTCTATAGGACCTCCAAAAATGTATTGACTTTGTATGACACATATCTTGACTTGCAAGACAAGTTTTCTATATGGGTGCCACATAGTTAGCTTGTTTTATAAGCTATCAATACATATGGCACATGGTTATTTTGTTAACTAAGTTTTTAATCAACTTAAAGGCTATGATAATCTCAATGTTTCAGACGATAAGTCATCAAATAATGGCTCTTGAGTTGAATCCGCTAGTTTTTGGTTCTCCATCTCCTTAATGCCACAATTATATAAAAACTAAAAACAAGGATAGAAAATAGAATGCAATTTTTTTTAAATTGTGTTTCTTTTATAGCAAAGGTTTGTTATCCTTCATATTGGTTTTGATAGATGTCATTAATGAAAAGCTTTGATCTTCTCTATTTCATTTTTAAGATTTTTTGTTGGCTTCCATATGCATTTACTAATATCATATCTATGCCAATGAACAAGATATTTTAACTTATTTTGGTGCCACCTTAAATCTAGAACTTCTTTTACTACAAATTCTTCATTATTGTCTACTTCTACAGGAAGAGATGGAACTTATCTTCTTTTTGATATACTTGTAGGCTTGAATAATTCAATAAGAGACATATGGAATACATGATGGATCTTCATTGATTCCAATAAATATAATCAATAAGCGATTGGATTGATTTGTCTACAAATAAAAAAATGTCCAAGCTTATGGTAGTCCAACTTATCATAAGGACAAGTAGTCTTGATATTATGACAAAGTAATCATACCTTGTTATCTACATTGAATTGTGGTTTTTTCTTTCAATAGCCATCTGCATTGATTTTTAGTCATTCTTGAGCTTCCTTTAATTATGCCTTCTTTGTTGCATGTAGTTCTAATAAACAATTTGTCAAATCTTTTGCTACAAGATTATTAACTTTTAAAAAGTCAAAAGTATCAAGTTGTAGATGATAACCATAATTGATAAAAAAAAGATGTTTCTTGCGTAGAAGAATGTATTGTATTATTATAAGCAAACTTTGCTAATAGCAAGTAGGTTATCCAATCATCTTATTAAAAATTGATGGTACGTCTTAAGTATTACTGCAAAACTTAATTTACACGCTTTGTTTGTCTATCAATTTGAGGATCAAAGGCTGAAGAAAGCTTTATATCTTTCTTTAGAATCTTAAAAAAGATTTTTTAAAATCTTGATACAAATTGAGTTCTCATATTCAATATAATATCTTTTGGCAATCCATGATACTAATAGATAT